AGGAGTGCTATTAGCATTGCTGCAGAGATTAAAGAGATTGGAATTCAGCCTGTTAGTGTTCAGACCATATGCCGCACACTACATCAAATTGGTGTGCCTGGCTGTCACCCCAGGAGGAAGCCTCTTCTGAAGGCAATACACAAGAAAGCCCTCAAATAGTTTGCTGAAGACATGTCAACAAAGCCCATAGATTACTGGAACCATGTCCTATGGTCTGATGAGACGAAATTTAATTTGTTTGGTTCTGATGGCCTTAAGCATGTGTGGTGGCGACCAGGTGAGGAGTACAAAGATAAGTGTGTCATGCCTACAGTCAAGCATGGTGGTGGGAATGTCATGGTCTGGGGCTGCATGAGTGCTGCAGGTATTGGAGAGTTACATTTCATTGAGGGAAACATGAACTTCAACATGTACTGTGAAATACTGCAGCAGAGCATGATCCCCTCCCTCCAGAAACTGGGTCGCAGAGCAGTGTTCCAGCATGACAATGACCCCAAACACACATCCAAGACAACCACTGCTTTACTGAAGAGGCTGAGGGTAAATGTGATGGACTGGCCAAACATGTCTCCAGACTTGAACCCAATAGAACATCTTTGGGCCATCCTTAAGCAGAAGGTGGAGGTGCGCAGAGTCTCAAATATCTGCCAGCTCCGCGACATCGTCATTGAGGAGTGGAAGAGCATTCCAGTGACTACCTGTGAAGCTCTGGTAAACTCCATGCCCAGGAGAGTAAAGACAGTTTTGGATAATGATGGTGGCCACACAAAATATTGACAGTTGACATGTTGTATGTTAATATTGACAACTTTTCCTAAGGGATGTACTCACTTTTGTTGCCAGGGATTTAGATTTTAATGGCTATATTTTGAGTTATTTTGAGGGGAAAATAAATTAACTCTGTTATATATGCTGCAGACAGGCTACTTTTCATTGTGTCAAAGTGTCATTTTGTCAGTGTTGTCCCATGAAGAGATATACTTAAATATTTGAAGAAATGTGAGGGGTGTACTCACTTTTGTGATACACTGTATGTGTGTGTGTGTGTGTGTTTCTAAAGAATTAATGGATTTATTTTAATCTAACTTTTTTATTAGTACAAACTTTATTATAGTGGATACTCATATTTGAAACAAATGCCATATTTTTATTTTTATTTTAAACAGTATGTATTACACCTATTAGTCTGTGTAGTTAAGAACTCTTAATAAGGAAAATGTGCACTCTGGTATTCTTTACCATTCAGCTACAGTGGGCATCACAGTTCAGCAAGGGTCTCTTTTCCCTTTTAAGGAAAGAATATTTCTTAAATTAAATTAATTTTTCTCAAGTGTCCATATCTGCTCAGTTTTGTATTCGCTGATCTGTGATGCTCTCGTAGTCAAGTAGTAAAGCATTTCAGATCAAACAGTGGTTTCTCCTACAAAGGGGGATGCAAGTTCTATCCATGCTGAAGAACATATTTTCTTTATTAAGATTTTTAAGGTTATTCATGAGTATGAACAGATTTTGTAAAAAATTAGCAAACATAATGTCTGTAATTTATTCAACCAGACATGCCTAAAATGGAATTAGCTGCCTAAATGTTGAAATCCCAGCATGGTCATTTGTCAGGAAGGTGACTTTTTGATGTTATTAGTGGGAGGAAATCCCAGACAGTGGCACCATACCATGTTTTGACACAAGTCTTGCAAGTGAAATTGAGTAGATGGAATTCTTTGAAAGCTGTCGATTGTTGTGTTAATACAAAGTCACACATCATTATGATCGAGGGTTTGAGTGTGCTGACCTTGTTCAGATTGTTGATCACACTAGATAACACACTCTCTCCCAGAAACTGTAACTAAGATCTGCTCAGTGTAGTTGCAGTATAAACCACAGGTAGGCTCTGTGGGTGTTGAACAAAACACAAATGTGTCTGTAGACGTCTGCAGTCTAGTAGTTGGGCATCCTTGGGTACAAAAGGCCAGTTAATATATATATATATATATATATATATATATATATATATATAAAAATATATAAAAAAACAAAACAAAACTCCTTATATACGATTATGCTGTTTTAATGTTAATATGTCAACGTCTGACGTTTCGGTCTAATAAACGTCAGACGTTGACATTAACATTAAAACAGCATAATCATATATAAGGATTTTTGTTTTGTTTTTTCCGTATATATTTTTCTTCATACTGTCAGATCTATATCCATATATTTGTTTACACACATATATATATATATATATATATATATATATATATATATATATTATTATTATTATGATAATGATAATAATAATAATAATAAAGAAAAGAACAGTAAGATATATAATCCAGTGTTCTTATTAATATTTTTATTTTTACAAAACAGTTCTCAATGGAAATCTACAGAGCATAAATATTATAAATTTACTTATTTAAAAATATGGTTCCATTGCTACTCAGGAAGTAATGGAACCATATTTTTAAATAAGCAAATTTATAATATATATAAATATTAATGGAATTTTTATCTGATCTTATTTCTTTATTAGACATTACTTTTATTTGATTTGTTATAATAGAAACAAATAACAACTGAAGTATGTGCACCGTCTAAAAATATTATTTACAATAATAAAATATGTATGTGTATACAAACATTACTACTAATACTAGTTCACACCAATATTCCTACTCATTAGATATTTCTAAATTCATTTACAAATAGAAATGTGCATATTCTCAAAACAAACACCTAGACACATAAGTAAATCTCTTTTTTTTAAAAATATGTTGACCTGTGGGTCAGAGTTTTGCTCTAAAAATAAAATAAATTGCAAAGAATCATTTTTGAATCCATTTCTTAAGATAGCTAACATTTATTTAACACATTTGATTATTTGATTACAATGAACTGATCTGATTTCAGACTTGCTTCAGTAACATTATGTGTTAATCTTCACAAGTTGCTCCCCTTAGCAATTTTTTAACTAGAAAAGGAGTGGTTTATCTGGAAGGGGCTGAACAGCCATTTCAGATAGGGGACACATGTGAAGAACAAAGTGTTCCGAATAAAGAATTCTCTTTCCATAATGTGTCCAAATTCCTTTAATTTGAATTTAGAATCTAAATTGGTTGTCATTCTGTCCTCAATATTGTTTAAACAGCTCATATGTAATAAAAGTCAAATGGTTAGCATCCTCTAAAAAGAATGTATCCAATTTTTCATATAATTTTTCCATTCCATCATCAGCATGTAACATGGTAATATCCAGTTCCAATATTATTTTTACTGTTTTTATTAGATTAAGTATTTTTAAACTATTTATTATTTTTAATATTAATAATAATCTGACTAATAATTACGTTCATCCTAAATTTTTAATACTACTGCTACTAAATCTCACCTGATGGTAGGTTAACAGTTTCAGCTCAGAAAGAAAAATCAGTTAACTAAGATTGAATTATGGCCAATGTCTTTGCATTCACTTTCACCTCAATACCCTTGTTAAAGGTATGAATCTATCTCTTCTTCCACCAGCTAGGAGCTAAATAGCAGAGCTAACTTGGTTATTTGGCCATGGCTGGCAACCAGCCTAAAAATAGTGACTTGATAAAAGCACCCATACCCCAACAGTCTGAACCACTTGTAGGGTTGTGTCAGCCCAGAAAAACACACAATAACAAATTCTTAAGTTATCTGTGTTGCACAATCTGCAATAGACAGTGATAGCATCTACTTTTAAAAAATATGATCAAGAAATTATCCTTTATTCTCAATCTGTGCTGTTTTCTCATTGCTGTAGAGTGATAATCTGAATAAAGGGAGTAAGATCATGGAATAAATTAAGGACCTGTTGTAATCACCCAGACTTCCGTGAGGTACAAAGGATATGAGTTCATCTCTCACCAACAACTTAGCATTTATTTCTTATCTTGCACTGTCTGCTTATTGCCACAGATTGATGGCATGAGCAACAGTTGCAATAAAAAGCTACTAATAAATTAATAGAGAAAATACTAGTCAAAATCAATAATAATAGGTTCATAGTATCAGCTGGTTTAGATTAAAACCTAAAAACAAATACCTAAACACATACATGATTAAAACTCTACATACAGTTTTCCTTTTATGTATAATTAACATTCATATGACATACATTTCTTGCATGAACAACTATAATATACTAAATACTTATCACTTGCATACCATTGATAGAAAGGGCTGTAGTTGATTGAACAATGAGGTAAATTTCCTTATTTTAATTAGCTTACTTGCTTAATTAGCTGTTGCTTCCATAGTTACCCTTGACAGGGACCAAAAAGATATTTTGAAAAATTGTCTTTAGGTTCTAAGATTTCATTCATGTTTTTGAATCTATAACTATAATTTACAACTGAAATGAATTTTAATCTATAATCAATAAATTTGAACTTTTCTATATTCTAGAAATAAATACACATAAAAATTATACTTCAACTTGAATAAATTAAAACCTCTATTAAATTCTGATATCTCATATATGTAGAAGTTCATTGAGAGTTTTGTTTATATATATATATATATATATATATATATATATATATATATTAAAAAGTGGGTCTATGACCAACCACAAATTTAGAAAATGTTTTTCTACATCATTATATAGTGATTAAAAATATATTAACAATAATTTCAACACAAAGAAACATCACAGCCAAAGACAATAGTCAAAAACAAAAAAACACATAATATCAGATTATCATTAACTTCAGTTCAGGCAAATGGAGATTTTAAGACAACAGACGCAAATACATGTACACAAACAGACAGACAGACAAAAAAAATTAAAGGAGAAAAAAATGCAAGATAAGAAAGGAAGGAAGAAAGAAAATATCTAGAGATTAATGGTATTTTTTCAAAAAGAGGATTCACATTCAAAGTTTTATAACTTTGAATGTGAGTATTAAATGAAAATACTGAAAGAGAAATATGCCTTGCAGACTTCAAAAGATTTCTGTTAGAACTCCTCTTACCTTTGGTTCTCCATTTTCTACCAGTTCTTCCACAACTAAAGAAGGGAAAACTCCAAACTGTCCATCAATTTCACCCTGCCAGAATCCATCATCAATACCAGTTTCATCTTTTCGGACAATTCGAATTAACGTGCCTTCAGTAAAGGAGAGCTCATCGTCTGTATTTGCTTCATAGTCATACAGAGCTCGTGCCCACACTTCACCTTTATGAGAGAAAAAAAAGTAGAATTTTAATATTAATAAGAGAATTTAGCACAAATATTGATTTTATACAATTGTTTTCTTGCCTCAGCAGATTGACCAAAGAATACTATAGGTAAATTTAGCATTTATTTTAGCATTAAAAACATATTGTTTTGGAAATTATTGCAAAAATCAAATAATTTTTTTTTTGTTTTTTTAAACTAATTCACCCCAAGTGGGAGTGCCACTAGCACACAAGGGGTTACAGAGGATTGAGAACAAGAGTAAAGAGATGTGTTTAAGGAAAGGATACAGAGAAGGATGAGGAACAAGCTCAGGGTGTCAGATGTTGATTGACATTACACTTGAATATTTGAAGATTATAGTCATTGGGGAAGGAAGTAAGAGAAAGGGAGTTCCACAGACAGGAAGTGTGAGAGAAGAAACCGTTTGAGTAGAAGAGATGGTTACATTTAACCATTTTGGGACCAAGATACCAGCCTGGTAGCTCTCTTAAATTCAGGCAGTCTGAGAACCAGTAAAAGTAGCTTGTCAGAACAGTTGCTGTGAAAATACTTGTAGAAGAGACACAGGGAGGTCACAGTATGTCTGTAGGAAAGTGATTGTAGAATAGATGCCAGATCAGGAACTATCATATTGCATATTCATCTCTGGATTTTGTCAAGGGCCTCGAGACGTACAATGGGAGCGCTAATCCATTATGAAATTTCTAGAACTTATTTACAAAATGAATTAAATTATTTTTTGGAAGTTTTTTTTTTAGAAAATCTTGGTAAAAATTTTTTTTTTTCATATCTTTTATCCCCACTTAATTTTATGAAATTTTGAGAAATTAACATTTCAGCCTCTTCACATTTATATTAGTTAAAAGCAGAACTCTTGGAGAATTTAAATCATCAATTTGTTTTTGTCAAACAAAAATGCCATTTATCAAAAAAATCTGCTCTGAATTGCAAAATAAAAAATGCAATAAAAAACTATGACATTATTTAATTAAAAAAAGTCTTTAATTGCTTTTATAAATAAAATATATTAAGGACACTATTTTCTCAAGAAAAAAACTTTTTCAATGAATAATGAATTTTTACAAGAATTGTTTTCATTTTTTTTCATTTTAATTAGAAAAATTTATTAAGTTTTAGATATTTTAAATTCTGTATTAATTTCAACTGTTTAGATAATATTATTATTAATAAGTGAAACCTATATTTACTAATCATAAATGGAAGAGCTTAATACAAATCATCAATCACAAATATTTTTAAAAGGATTTTGAATTTTTTTGTGTATAAACGTGTCAAATTTTGTATGGGTAACTATACACAAGATCATCAGAAAATAAGAGCAATAACTATAATAAATTTAAAATCAACATTTATATATATTATATATATAGGGAAAAAATGTACAAGAAAGTGGAAAAAGTTCTCTTATGATGCATTTCATCCTTTAGAACTTCATTGGAGTAAAGGACAAAACGTGTGAGAAGAAAACTTTTCCATTTTGTCATACATTTTTCTCCAATATTGTTCTTGATATGTAAAATATATAACTTTATCTCATATATATATACATATATATATATATATATATATATATATATATATATATATATATATATATATATATATATATAATTTTTTTTTTGTTTAAAATATGATTCCTTCACTACATAAGAGTTCTCATGTTTCAAAAACGAAATTTAGCCAGAAACTATCCAAATAATTATTAAAATTAAGTTGAATTGAAACGACCAAACCGTTTCATCTTCAACTTTAATTTCTAAAATTATTTGATGGTTTCGGCTCGTTTTGAAACATGAGAACTCTCGTGTAGTGAAGGAACTCATTTTTAAACAAAAAATATTATTATAATAAAGCTCTACTTCTGTATGGAGCACTGTCTTCTAAAAAATAAAAACAAAAATACTAAGGAACCCCGGATTATGCACCCAACGTGTTCTTTTGTATTTTCTGCATATCTGCGCACTTATACTTATATATATATATATAAAACATTCAAATTTGAATGAAATAAAAAATATAGTAATTTACTTATATGTAAAGTCAGAAAAATAATGTGCAATTACGTTAAAAAGAATAAAATTATATTTCAAAAAGATCTTACCATCATTTGGAACTAAGGGAAGGTTTTGAAGGGTTGGTTCTGTTGTACTTGAGGCAGTAGCCTGCTGAACTTCAAGATCCCCAGAAGAAAATGAAGATGCTACATCATACTGAGTGGGTTCATTTGGAGGCTCCATATGGTTTGTCACAGTAAAATCAGGGGGTGGAGGCATGTCACTTTCCTGTCCAGTAGGTGTTTCCAAATCATCTGTGGACATGTCTGTAGCTGGTGTAATGTCAGGTGCTGGAGGTAGATCAGGAGTTGATAAGGCTCCGTGAGGCGTGGAAGACGTTTGCGACATATCCACACTGGTGGTTGGGACGTCATAGCCTATAGCTGATTCAACAACAGCAGATTGTGTTGAACCAGTTTGGTCTAAAATGCGGATGTAACTTTCAGGAATGAACCCCACATTGCCTCGAGAATCTTTTGCCTGCAAGGAATAAATTTAGCAACTAATTGAAAAATGTCTAACAGATTGTTTATTCTGAAAAATACAGAAGCATAATGATGATAAAGGAGTATTTACTGTAGCAAAGATTGGCAAACATTTTTGGTAGTGTAGATGCAAGGGTAACACTCAAAGTAAAATTATAACTATTTTTGCAAATAGCATCCAGGTACTTACAACTTTTCACCTTTCTTGGCAGATCTACTATCTCAGTGTAGAATACTTAATAACAAGAGAAATAAAATATAAAGAAAAAGAAGCCAAATGAAATAGGCTAGACTTCAGTCTGTCTGAAGTTATTATGCAAATCATATAAACCATTATGTTAAAAATTTCACGGGTAATCTTAGATACATGAGAAGCAGCATCATTATGAAAATCATATAAACCTCAATAAATTCAATAACTCAAATTTGTTTTGAACAATTTTATAAAATTTTAAACAATTACTTTAGATGTCACAACAATATGTGAGTTAAATTTTTAGGTAGTTTCAGCATGTTTTATTAATGTTCGATTTATTATAAGTTATACAGATTAAACTAATATTAGCCTCTGAAATCTAATAAAAACTAATTTTTTTATTTTTTTCCATAGTACATGTTGAAACATGGGTAATAGAAAGGATCTAACAAATGCTGAAAAATAGAAAATAACAAAATTATTGAGCAAGAGAATGACCATATTGGAAATAAAAAAGAAGCTTTGCAGAGATCATCAACAATAAAGAATACTGTTGAAAATATAACTTAGATGAGAACTAGAAGAAAAGGAAAAGGCTTTAAGAACTTGTCTCCCCAAGGGGAATGGACTACTAAAGAAAGTTATAGTGAATCTTAACGGATTCTCTTCCAGCTCCTATCCCACGAATGTAGGTGTTCCTCAAGGCTCCATCCTAGGCCCCATTCTGTTCTTATCTTCATCAACGATCTTCCTGATGCCATAGATTCCTGAGTTGGCATCTACATGGATGACACAACAATTTACTCCTGCCTCAAAAACAAATCTAGTGTCACTGACAAAACTAACCTGGCTGTTCGTCTCGAAAAGGACCTCCAATGGATTGTGAACTGTGGCAGGAATTGGCTGGTTAACTTTAACACCTCAAAAACAAAAACTGCTCTCTATTAATCACCACAGAGATCCTTCCCTGCCCCACATTAGAATGTCTGACACTCAACTTCACGAGAGCACTTCTCTGCAGCTGCTTGGTCTCACATTGACTACTGACCTGAGATGGAACAAATACATTGAGTCAATTGCTTTGTCCACCACAGGAAATTTTTCTCCCCGGAATCAATCCTTCAAATCTAGAAATCAACTATTCGCCCTTGCATGGAGTATTGCTGCCATATATGGTCTGGAGCCCCTTCTGTTTGCCTCGGGGTTTTTGATAAGATCCAGAGACAGATATGCAATGTAATTGGCCCTGATCTAGCATCTCATCTGCAGTCACTCTCTCACAGACATGCCATTGCCTCTCTCTGTCTTTTTTACAAATACTTTCATGGTAATTGCTCCGATGAGCTGCTTTTGCTGGTTCCCAGACTTCATGAATTCAAGCGTCTTACGAGGCTGGCATCCCGCTCCCACCCTTACACAGTTGAAACTGTTAAATATAGCCGTCTCTTCTACTCAATAGCTTCATCTCACATCTCATCTGTGGAACTCCCTTCCCTATTCCTGTTTCTCTGACAGCTATAATCTCCAACTATTGAAATGTAATGCCAATCGACATCTTCAGTTGCCTTGATCTATCCACTATCCTTCTCCTCATCCTTTCCTCTATCACTCCTATCTGATCTTGCTCCAAATCTTCTGTAACCCCTTGCGTACTAGTGGCTTCCCGCCTTGCTTGGGGCGAATTGATTAAAAAAAAAAAAAAAAACACTTTTGACCAGGCTGGAATTGAGAGTCAAGAAGGACAAAAAGTGTAGAATACTTCACAAAGAAATCTCCTAAGAAAATACCTCTCATTAAAGCAAATATTTTAAAATGTTAAAATTGATCCAGACACATGAAAATTGACTTTTCTAAAGTAATTTTACACAGATAAATTTTTGGTGACACTTGATGGACATGATGGATGGGCCAAAGGGTGGATTTTATTTGATGCAGATGTGCCTGTGGCTAAAAGAAGGCAGCAAGGACGTGGCAGTGTAATGATATGGGCTGGAATTGTTGACCAAATGTTTATTGGACCATTAACATTTGATGAAGGAATTAAACTGAACAGTGCTAACTATTGAAATTTCATGGATAAGACTCTCTTTAAATGGTATAAATCCCTGCCTATCATTTACAAAGTGAAGAGTATTTATTATGCAAAATAATGCTCTTTCTTGTGTATCTAAGATTACCTGTGATTTTTTGAGCATAAAAAGTTTATCAGGAGAGAAAATGTATTGGACACCATTAACTCCTGGTCAGAATCCAATTGAAAATGTGTGGACAATTGTAAAGATAAAATTATATGAAAGTGGCAAACAATATGAGAGCAATGCAGCTTATGAGAAGCAATTAAAACCACCATATTAGAAATTGAAGATACTGAAGTAAAAAATTTAACAAAATCAATGGGTAATAGATTGCTAGTTGTTATTGAGAAGATGGCTCACTATATTAAGATATAAATGCTTCAAAGACTTAACATATTTGTTATTTGTTCTATTATGTGTTGATCAAATGTTAATGATTGTATTACCTTGTTATTGAAGTAAAAAGTCATTTTCTGGTTTTGCATAATAACTACAGACTGCAGTTTTTATCATAATTTCAATAATTTTAATAAAACATATTTGAAACTATGTTAAAATTTAACTTGATTTATTTTGGCATCTAAATTAATTGTTTAAAATTTTGAAAGAAATGTTCAAAGCAAATTCAAGTTGAGGTTTATATGATTTCCTCTCTTTTGTTCACATTACATTGACATAATCATTTTAGTCTGATGAAGTTCTAAAGGATGAAACACATCACATGAAATTTTTTTCCACCCTGTCATTAATTTTTATTACATTTTCTTGGTATATAAAAATTTATAAATCAATTTCACATCCCCAATATATATATATATATATATATATATTGAACAATAAGAAAATAAAAAATTAAAAATTAAAAAATTAAAATCTTTAGACACACTGGGTTGTAGATTAATATTCTTTCGTTTTTTATTATTATTCCATTTAGATTCCTCGACTAGTTTAAACCAAAATGGCCATCATCGGGAGGAAAATATTTCAGCTAGTATATATATATACATATATATATATATATATATATATATATATATATATATATATATATATATATATACTAGCTGAATTACCCACTGCTGCTGCATGTCACACACTCTTTTGTAAGAAAATTGATTGATTTTAAATCATTGTTATAGTTAATGGAGAAAAATGATGCATTTCAATATTACTCAATGATTTTGCTGATGTGACCTCCATCTTTTAACTTTCTCCTTTTATATTTTAGATAGGAGTCATTCCCTTGTTCAAATTTAGTTTTTGTTTAAATCAAAGGGAAAAAAATTTCAGTGGGGTGTTTATGCATAAACAGCTTGAACTGGTTTCCTATCTGATGCAATACTTGATGAATGAATTGATGAGCAGATTTCAGTATTGATATGACAGCTAAATTGTTGAAATAAATATGTGCAATAAGGGACTAACCATTGATTGGCAATTTTTTGACATCCATATTGTCTCATTTTGATCTTGCCCATGTGACCGTCACCTTCTGGCTTTCTCCTTCTGTATTTTAGATAGGAGTCATTCTCTTGTTCAAATTTAATTTTTATTTTAAATCAAAAAGGAAAAAAATTCAGTGCTGGGTTTGAGCAAAAACAGCTTGATTTAACCCCTTTGATATGTATTCGATGCAATACTTGATTGAATGAATTGATGAGCAGATTTCAATATTGCTATGATAGTTGAATTGTCGCAACAAATATGTATTGTCAGGTATTACCCACTGATTGGTGTTTTATTGCTCAACTTGATGTCCATATTTTCTCATTTTGATATTGCTGACCTCCATCTTCTGGCTTTCTCCTTATATAATATGGATAGGAGTCATTCCCTTGTTCAAATTTATATTTAATTTGAATTAAAGGAAAAAAAATTTCAGTGTGGCAGAGGTGTGCTGTAGAAAAATCACGTGGTAGAGATAAACACTCAGTTGTGGAGCAAGCTAAGTGAATAATAATCCAACCTTTAGAAAGAGAGCTATTTATGTTCTCATTGTGCTAAAGTGGGATAGTCGATTGCTTGGGCTGTGATTGGCTGCTGGACCTGAGTGGAGGTATTTCTATATAAATACCAGCTTGATTCATCAGTTAGTTTGCAGGGTTTCTATTAAGTTACAACCTGCTTTATTTTTGTCTGCCAGCTGGACGCTAGCTGGGACCTTTACACCGGTAAGTGCTGTTTATTATTGTTATTCTACATCTCCTTCCCCCCCATCGCATGTGGGTAGTGGCCTTTGGGGAGGATGAGTTCCTTTAAACCTGGCTGGTTGTGCGGAAATAGTCTGGACAATGCCGAGGGTTTTGTCCGTGTTATTGTAGACTACTGAGCAGTGTTCGACCGTTATTCCAAATCATGTTTGTGGCACTGGTGTAGGGGTCTCAGGTAAGGCACTAGGTCTGGGAACTGGAATTGTAGGTGTATCCAGTTTCCTGAGGAATCGGTGATTTAAAAGGTAATTCTACCTGATCCATCAACTCTGATCCCATTATTGGTGGTTGGGGAGGGTTTCAATGACCTGACCTGTTGTGTCCCATCGGCAGGTTGTTGGTCATTGTAGTGCCACTATTTGTCCTTTTTGAAGAGGGTTTAAGGTGTGTGCTGTTCTATTATTGTTATTCTACAGTGTGCAATGTTTGACTTGAAGTGAGTTAAGAATTCTAAGTGATGGTGTAAAAATACTAAATGAATAAAAATATGGAAGATTAGTTGACTAGACTGGAACCTGACGGAAGAAGGCTTAATTTAGGAATATTAACCAGAACCTATAAAATGCTTATATGGAAAGCATCAGAAGGATTTAAACCCAAATTCAGTATGATTAAATTTTTCCTACCCTGGTTAGGAAGTTGTAGTGACAAGGTGGTTGTTGTAGTAACAAGATTAATGTGTTTGTCTGCCACATCTAAGAACTGTTTATTTAACAAGGCTATCCTTCTGAATTACATTGATTCTTACCAAAATGTCTATACCAAGAATCTGATTGGAGGTAATTTTAGAAGGACCATGTTCATAACAAAGTTCATCTTTATGGAAAGATAACAATCAATGTCATTTTCTCAGACAAATGGCTATATAAGTGAGGATTGCAGTTGATTGTCCAGTTCACATCAGAGTTTTCTGTTTTGTCCAGAGAGAATCTCTCTCTCTCTCTCTCTCTCTCCTGTCTGTCTGCCTCTCTGAAAGCTGCAGGAACCTCTGACACACAGACACAAGCTTCTATCCTTGCTTGTAACTTTCTCAATAACTCAAGAATATTAGTAGAAATCAACCATTGTAACATTTGGCAGCTTTTGTTATTAAACTTTTGATAGGTTTTATAATATTGCTTGGGAGAATAATATATATATATATTTATATGTCAAGAACATTTTTATGGGAAAGAAGTATGACAAAAGGGAAAAAGTTATCATATGACACATTTCTTCTTTTAAGACTTCATCAGACTAAGTTTATGCTTACATTGTTGCAACTCCACATGTGCACAAATGAAAGAGAGATACTTTAATTTAATTTGATTTTAATGTATTTTGGGTAAGTAATCTAGCTGATTTTACTTAGATTCTTTTCTTAATGTTTCTGTAACTTTTGTTATTAAACATCACACATTGTGATAATAGAAGATCTGCCAAGAATTGTGAAACATTGTAAGAACCTGGGCACACATTTACTGTGGACGATCTAATGATTAAAGCACTTTCTAAATATTTTCATTTTAGTAAATTGTTTTCTCTTTTAATTAGAGTAGCATTTTCTAAATCAAAATTGTGGTCAGACTATAGAGAACAACTAATGCATTTAATGTACTGTTTTGTAAAAGATCCCTTTTGTGTTCATATAATCTTTTATGTAAATTCCTTGAAGTTTCTTCAATGTATTCCTTGTGGCAATTATTACAATTTAAAGAGTAAATTCCTCCTTCAAGTTTGAGCTTATTATTTTCTTTTGTATTAAGTCTTTTATTGCTTAGATTTAATTGTGACAAATTTTATGTTGAGTTTAGATAAATTCCTTTCAATTGTAATTGTAATAGAGTTGTTGTGTAGAACAATATATTTTGATTTGTTGTGTTTGTCAAAAAGGACAGCTTTTCAATTTTGAAATAGTTTATGAGCCTTTTGTTTCACATTGAATATGAAATAGTTTATAGTGCTTATACCTTCTATCCATAATTTTTCTACCTTTTGAGAAAGTCTCCAGATCAATAAAACCATATTCAACCAGAGTGAACAGAAAAATTCTTCAAAATCTCATCCTGGCAGGTGCACAACATTAAACCAAACTAGATGACTGCCCATGACAAATAACAATAGTAAATTTACAAAAACACCCATACTCACATCATGTTGCATCTCACTTGATAACACCTTGCTGTGTTATATTTAGTGTCAGTGGCTATAAGAGGTGTATATTTGGCACTGTGATCAATCGAAGATGTAGACAAATAGGTAGTTTTAATTTTATAAAACTTTTTGGTGATTTACACATCCCTTTAAACCAGAACTGAATCACCTGTGACATGATTTTATGGTCTCATTCTTTCAACTTTTCACACCTGGCGACTTTATTAACTTCAACTTTATATATTGGTCAATCTTAACTAGGCATTTGTTTAATATCCTTCTTTCTTTTCTTTTCTTTCTTTCTTTCATTCTTTTTTTCACTACCTTTCTCTTTTTTTCCATTCTTTTCTTCTTTTCTTGAACCAATGTCTATGTTTTAATGTTTGATGTGTTTATTGGAATACACCCCTTTGTATTTAAGATCATTGGGGCATGAGCAAACACATTTGAGATTTATTCTGAAAAGACCCAACATCACCTGTTAATCACTTAAATAATCTGTGTGTTTATTAAGACTACCTTGTAAAATTCTATACCCTAAAACAGTGCTTCTCAACATTTTTAAACTTGTAGAAACCTTGAAATAGTTTTCATGTCCCAGGGAATGCCTGCATAAAAATTATTATATACCATTATTAATATCTCTTTTATATTTTAATCATAGTTCATGTGGTAAACATGTGGACACTCATCCTGTACTCAAGTGAGCCATTCAATGATACATGAATATGCCACATACACGCCCTGTCCACTAACCAGTGAATGCAATTTCACACTGACACCATATAGACATTGATAATTACATTCCCTATTATAATTTTAAATAATGTAAGAGGGTGAAGCCTTTATTATAATAACTAAGGATTTTCCAACAATATGTCATACAATTATAGTAAAATTATGAATATAAATTAAACATAAATTACTCAAAAATATATTAGCCTAATTATAACTGTTTTTCACAGAACCCCTAGTGACCTAGGGTTCTGGGGAATACCATTTGAGAAACACTGACCTAAAGGGTGGAGAAGTGATAGCATAACAATAACATTTAATTTTAATGTATAGAAACATAAGAGGACAAAATGAATAAAATAGTACAGTAGTGATTTTATGAAATATTTTAACACATAGGTATCATTTAGCATTTTCATGAAGTGAACCTCTGATACAACAATTAGAAACATTATGTTCATTCTAAATTCAGCAATTTTGGGCCATTGTGCCTGCAAAAAATGAAGTGTGAAAAGGGTGTTTTTTCCCTTGACACTGCTATTATTTTAACTACCTTCACTCCTCAGCAATGTTTGTTTTAAAAAGCAACAATTAGAGTTGTAATAAAACCTAAACATATGAAAGTGAATTTTTTTGTTCTTGAGAATTTACAACAAAAATATTAAACACTATTTATTTATTAGATTATTTACAAGAATGATTTTATATTTATAACATTCTAAAACTGATATAATTAAAACTAATGCAGTGCAATATTTATCAATTACAAATTTATAAATAGATAAATATGAAAACAATTTTTTATTCATAAATTTATAAAAATTTACCAAATTATTAAAATATGTGAACCAACTATAAGAAAATCCTTATTATTTACCATTTTATAAAGTTTGATTCTATTTGTCAATTTGCTGATGTTTTACCAACAATTTCAATAAACAATCTAATAAATGAATTGTGTAAATAAACAATCTAAAAATTAAATTGTTTATTATTTTTGTTGAACAAAGAAAATGTATAAATTCACTTTCATATGTTTAGTTTTTATTAAAATTCTAATCATTGCTTTTTAAAACAAGGAATGAAAGTAGTTAAAATAATAGTGGTGTCAAGGGAATAATTGTCTTTTTGACATACCATTTTTTATGGGCATGAAGGTCCATGTTTTCCCTAAATTTTATACCTCGTATGAGATGCTCCAGCCTGTGCTTGTAGTTTTAAATGAGAATTATAAGTTATGGCCCTTGTTGATACATAAACAGAAATTGATTATGTATTTTGAAACTATACTTCATGTACTTGTGTGTTCAAGTTAAGCAATGTATGCGATTATTAGATGGTGAACATATAAACTATAGTACTTATTAAAAAGAAGGTAAAAACCAACGTTTGACTTACCTGTACCCAACCATCTCCATCACCGTCCCCAATAACTTCAATGTCTTCATTCTCTTCCATGCCTAGTTCGTCAGGATTTGTAGCTTGGAATGTATATAAAGCTTGGGCTTGGATAGGATACTGCCGGGACGATGATGAGTTTTGGGTTGTGGGGCTCATTGGTGTTGCTTCAGTAACATCTGGAATCTCTTCAACAAAGTCGTCATCATCATCAAAGTGTGTATATGTGGGCTCAGGTTCTTCTGTCGGCTATGGTTTACAATAAGATATGAAAGAATGAATTAATAAATTAATTACAAAATTAAGATAATTCTGGAGTCTTACCTGCATGCACACACACAGAGACACAAACACAAACATACATACATACATATATATATATATATATATATATATATATATATATATATACATACATACATAAAGATCTTTTTCCCCTTAACTAAGTCTGTTTCATATCTTTTTAACAAGCAGAGCCATTTGTATAGCAATGTTCTGGAAAAGGCCCTAAAACAAAGTATAAATTCCTACTGATTTCTGTAGATAACAGGGGATTAACTTTAATCTTTCTATACAAGAATCTAGGCACATTTGAATTCTTGCATTGGTTCTCTTTTGTTATCAACATTACTAAATAATGTAAGAAACTTTTAAGAGTTACAAAAATGTTGATTGATTATTTTTTTTTATGACTTAACAACATTTTGATGATTATTTAACCCTTTCCCTGCCAATTATTTTGGGAAAAACATTTCATTTTCAAACAATTGTTTTGTATTTATTTTTAATATAATAACAAAGGAATTTAGGCTCCTTGATGTACCCAAGTAGTGGCTAACACTTCTACCAAACATATGTTAACAATTGCATTTGTTTCAGAGGGTATAAAAAGAATAAAGATTGATGTATAAGCACATCTGTAGCTGTTTTAGAATGTTATGTTTTGAATATTGTTTATTCATCTGTGTCTGAAAAAGACACTTTTGTTAAAAATGTATATATCCGGTCATCCCATAAGTTCTGTCCGAATTTTAACTTTTTTTAAAATGAATGAATTTTAAAGAGTATTTTATAATGTCTAATGGAGCTGAACATTATTTTTATGTTTAGATGCATTTAAAATGATCAAATTTTATTTCAGAGAACAATAAAATTAAATTTTGTTTGATTAAAACCGTGCTAACATGGAAGTACCCAAGAATCATTTGAGGCACATAATGCTTTATGAGTTCAAAAAAGGAAACTCAGCAGCCAAAGTGGCTAGAAACATTCACTCAGTTTATGAAGAGGAATGTGTGAATGAAAGAACTTGCAGAAGATGGTTTGCAAAATTCAGAGGTGGAGATTTCACCCTTGAAGATGAAGATTGAACCAGACGTCCAGTTGAGTTTGATGAAAAGCTTCTTGAAGCAGCTCTTGAAGAAAATCCTGCTTTATCAGTTGAAGAATTGGCAGTGGTTCTCAGTACAAACCATACAACTATTCATCGTCATCTTCAACAACTTGGAAACATTCCTAAACTTGGAAAATGGGTGCCTCATGAATTGTCTGAAAACAACCTCAAATCCTGAGTTGACATCTGCTCTTCTCTCCATTCTCACCAACTTGTTTCACCTTTTTTGGATAGACTTGTGACTGGCGACAAAAAATGGATCTTTTATTGAAAAATTAAGCATCTTAGACAGTGGCTTCGTAAAGGGGAAGCCACAGCCAAGAAGGGAACTTCATGGGCAAAAGGTTCTTCTTTCAATCTGGTGGGATCATCAAGGAATAATCCACTTTGAATTCTTACTACCTAATGCAACAATTAATACTCAAATATACTGTCAGCAATTAGAGCGTTTGAACTAAGCTTTGAGGAAAAAAGACTTGCTCTAGTGAATTGAAAAGAGGTGATGTTTCATCAGGACAATGCGCAACCCCACACAGCAAGAATCACATCACAAAAGATTGAAGAACTTGGTTGGGAGAAAATTCCTCATCCACCTTATTCTCCCGATCTTGCTCCTTCAGACTACCATTTGTTTCGTAGCTTACAGAATCATTTGGAAGAAACAGCTTTTGTAACACAGGAAGAGGTTAAAACTGACATTTGTGAGTTCTTCGAATCAAAGCCAAAAGAATTTTACAGTAATGGAATTAGTAAGCTTGTTAATAGATGGAAGGAAGTCATAGATAATTAGGGAAAATACATTGTTGATTGAATCTGTAATTAAATGTAACATTTGGTCACTTGTTTTCTTTATTCAAAATTTGGACAGAACTTATGGGATGACCTGATACATGTCTACACTAGGAAAGGGGTTAAATCTGAGACATATTTTTTGGATTATAAGAATAATTCTTCTTTTTTTTTTTGGTGGATGGATATTGCATTTAAGTGATCATAGCTCTCTATAGATTACATTTCTTTATTGTTAGTTACACTTTTGGGACACCCAGCATTTTTTTTTTAAAAAAACCTTAAAATGAGAAATTTTTGTATTTTTTTTTATAAAAGATAAAATTTCAGTATACTATACATTTTGATAAATTATGAATATAAAGATATATTTTGCTTTCATCTTTAACCCCCTCATAGACTTTTTGAGATTACCAAAAGGGCTGGAGATTTGGTTCAGGTCAAGGGAAACATGAAAAAAGAACAATATCATCTGGTTTACACATAATTGGAAAAAAAATCACTTTTCAAGAAGGAAATGACCCCAAATACTTCTAAATTATATCAAAATTACCTTGAATTAAAAAAAAAAATGAAGAAAAATTTGGAAATTATGACTTGGCTGTCTCAATCTGCTGGCCTCTCTCCCATTTTCTTAGTATGGGATGAATTGGATAGGAGATTTTGAAGAGAACATCCAAAGAGTGAGAGTGAGCTTTTTCAATGCTTGAAGAATGCATGAGAAGGTCTGCCATCTGTAATTTGTAAATATATTTACAATGTAACAATTTGTAAATATAGTTACAAATTTTCAAGTTTATGCTTGGTATTTTTACTTAATTGTCTTTTATATATTTGTGTGTCACATAAGTAAATGTCTTTTAGTAGGCAAGTTTCAGCCTTTCTTATACCATACATTTTTTAATCATTTCACCCTAAGCAAGGCATTAAAGCTACTAAGATGCAAGGGGTTACTGTGTGTGAGAGAATATGAAAAACAGAAAACATTATTAAGGAGAGAGGACAATAAAAGAACAGGAATTAGAGAGACAGAAGATAATGATTGACATTGTATTTAAATTTTTTTGAAAATCAGTTGACTAGAAAGCATGAAGCTGGGAGATTATTTCACAAGTGAGAAGTGTGAGAGAAGAAACTATTAACATAGAACTTACCGTTACATCTAGCCATTTCAGCTGTAAAATGATGAAACTTTTTATTATAATTATTAGGTACAATCTCACATACACACAAATTATGCATTTCCTTTTTAATTACATTCTCATTTAATAATTTTCTTTATTAATTACATTTTGAGAAATTTATATGTCCTATTATATCAATTGTTAAACATTATACCCTATATTATATTATGCCCTATTACAAAACTTGTTAAGAATTATACCCTATATTATACTCTATTACACCACTTGTTAAGCATTATACCTATATCATATTATGCTCTACTACAGCACGTTTTAAGCATCATATCTTATATTATATTATACCCTATTTCAGCACTTGTTAAGCATTATACCCTATATTAAGCTCTATTACAGCACTTGTTAAGCATTACAACCTATATTATATTATGCTCTATTACATCACTTGTTAAGCATTATACCCTATATTATATTATGCTCTATTATTGCACTTGTTAAGCATTATATAATATTTATATAATAAAGCAATTTCTAAAAAATTAATGGATTTATTTTTAATCCAACATTCTATTACTTCAAACATCATTATAATGGATACTCGTATTTTAAATAGACTCCCTATTTTTATTTTAAACAATGTGTATTATATCTATTGGTCAGTGCACTTGAGACATCATAATAAACAAAATGTGTTCTCCAGCAGAGATTGAATTTGTGTCCTCCTTTACAGGGGAAAACCACCATTTGCTTTGCTGCTCAGCTATAAAGAACATTACAGTAAGCAAGGTTCTATTTTCTCCTTTTAAAGAAAAGACATTTTCTTAATTCAGATTATTTTTATCAAAAGGTGTTATCTGCCCAGTTTTGTATCCAAAATGTAAACAAAGCAACTTCTAAAGAATTAATGGAATTGTATTTAATTCAATATTTTTATAACTCCAAACATTATTACAGTGGACATTTGTATTTGAAATAGACACCAGAGAACACATTTTCTTTATGATTTTTCAAATATGCAGGCTGATAGATATCATAAACATTGTTTCAAATACACATGTAATAAGTAAAATATCTTCTGCCAATTTAAAATGTATTAATTTTATTGTAAACTTCTTTATTATTATTATTATTATTATTATTTTCTTTACTATTTTGTTGATTCAAATGCTAAAAAAACTCATATATAAGTGAGAATTAGTCATTTCAAACCCAACACATTGTTCAAATTCATGGTTCCATTCTTCTATTTTCTGTCAATTTAGTGTGTGTCCTTCCGATCAGTGTATCCTAACACCACATTTGTATCCTAGATTATCGAACTTAAGGGGAAAAGCAAAAACAGAAGGAGGTATACCATTTATTGTTGTATTATAAAATTTAAAATAAAAATAAAATTATAAAATAAGAAATTTGGCTAAAAAGTCTTAAAACAAGATATTTGAATCCTTTAAATAAAATATCCTGAATGTCTTTTAACATGTCAAGAAAAAAATTGGGACAATGCCTTAATAATGTAGGATACAAATGTGGTAGTAGGATACACACTAAAGCAGAAACAGATCGGTAGGACACAGGCTAAAGTGGCACTCTGTATTTTCTTATGGATACCTGAAGAATGTTGTAGAACTGTTTGATTGAAACACTTTATTAACAATATAAGTAACACAAAGATATAATTAAATTGACTGAATGTGTACAATAGATAAAGTAAAAATAAATAAATAAAATGAAGAGAAATAAAAATTATATCACTTACCCCACCGGAGCTTTCTGTCCTTAATGATGCCTGACTAGGTGTGCGCGAAATATTATCTGGTTCTGCACCAAGGCTATCAATCTGAGCACTGGCCAAATATTCATCAACATTTACTGCAAACAAAAAAATAAAGCCATTCATATAGTTATGCAATGATATTTCATTGTAATATAGATCAGAGATAAGATTAGAAATTATATTCAAGAGAGCTTCTCCTTTAATATGTATCAACACTGTCTATTCACTGCTATGGAATCATGGTCTGAATAAATTTGTTATAAAAAAACAACTAAAAATGAAGTTGAAAATAACTACAAATACTAGTCAAAAATTAAAAAAATAATGATTAACAATACTTCATCTAATAAAAAATTAAGTGGAAAGTAAATACTAATAAAAATTTAATAATGGTTGAAAATGCTTCATATAATAAAAAATTAAGTGGAAAGTAAATACTAATAAAAATTTAATAATAATGGTTGAAAATGCTTCATCTAATAAAAAATTAAGTGGAAAGTAAAAATAATGGTTGAAAATGCTTCATATAATAAAAAATCAAGATGAAAGTAAATGCTTGTCAAAATTAATAATAATGATTAACAATACTTCATATAATAAAAAATTAAGTTAGTAAATACTAATAAAAATTTAATAATAATGGTTGAAAATGCTTCATCTAATGAAAACTGAAGAGAATAGTAAAAAATAATCAAAAATTAATAGTAATAATAATAATAGTTGACAATGCTTCGTCTAATAAAAAAGAAGCAAAAAGTGAATACTAGGTACCACCCAATTTTGAGTTAAAACTTTAAAAATGCATTTAAAATAATTTGAATGTCTCTTTTTTAGTTAAATTTTCATTTTATTTGACAGAATATCCTAAAGTGAATCTGTATTAAAAGAAAAATAAATTTCTGGATGTAAATAAACTTTTTGGTATTCTTAAAAAATTCTCAGATTCATTTGTCACTCATCAACTCATTAATCTCCCATAATAGACAAAAAAATATAAACAACAAATTTAAAAATCTCTTAAAAATCCAGTATTCATCCTAGGGATGTGTTTCAAAGTAAATTATCATATTTAAGAATTAACTGAAATTTGTGAAAATTAATGCTCCTTTTTGCTTAAAACATTATTAAAATAATGTTTATTTATGCATGATAGCCTGTGAGCTCTCAAGGTCATATGTCAACAACAGTAGTTTTCTAACACCATCTCTGACTCTTGAAAAGCATGAGAAAGACTTTTAAAAAATGAAAGAAATACAGAACACCAGCAAGTGTTATAAAATAAAATAAGACATATCTCGGCTGATTTACAGGCAAATACTCAAGAGCGAGAACCGGATGTGAACGGGACAAAGCCCCATCACAAAATGACCATTAACTTTCTTTACAAATGTTTCCGACACACGTGTTCCGGTCGAAAAATAAAATATTTAAAGTGCTCTATTTTTCGTCCAATAAAAATGCTTCCCTCCTAATTATACTCACTTCATTTCTCGAGCCTGTTAAGCCATAAAAATCGCTATAAAAGGGGTCACACAGAAGTTCAACAGTCAGTCAACAGGTGGCCAGCGAACAGACCTGACGGTCAGGCCGAGCGATCAGCAGCAGGGGAGCGTCAACCACCGTCAACATGTGTGAACTACTATGAGAGATCGACCAGATCCGAAAGCCGGCTTATGAACTTTACCACAAGGTAGCTGTCCCAAACCCACACGTTCCTGTTGAAATAAACCACGTAAATCTATTTCTGCTGTTTTCGTATTTCTTTCTTGCAACCATACACTTGTCTATAACACAAGGAATCAGTATTGTTTGTTTAAAAATAAATTATCTTTAACCAGATATAAGATTTAAGAATATCATTTTTTAATTCTTATTTAGTTCAAGAATATCATTTTTTTTATTTTTATACTACATTAGATGTATAAATAAAGAAATTAATTAAAAACTAATTAAATGTTTGACATTGCATTTAAATTTTTGAAGACCAAAGTTGACTGGAAAACAAGAAAATGGAAAAGACTTACACAAGTGAAAAGTGTGAGAATAGAAACTATCAGTATAGAACTGATGGTTACATGTAGCCAGCTGTAAAATTTTGAGACCTAACTACTACTGCACTTAAATTTGTAAATAAAGTCAAGGTATCAAAGAGGAAAGCTCATCAGAACAATTACCTTAAAAATATCAATAGAAAAGATATAGGGAAGTGAGAAAATGACTGAAGCTGAGATGTCAGGTCAGGGCTGATAACATTGCAGATTCTTCTTTGGATTTTATCAAGAATCTCTAAATATATAATAGAAGCACTAGGCCAGATGTAATAACAATATTCAATGCATAGACAAATGATAGCCTTCTATAGATATAACATATTTTGGCGAGAAAAGACACAACATGGTGAAACAACTTTTTAATCAGCAGTCCAAGCAACATAGTATTCAAAATTAATAATAATGTGTGACAATGCTTCATCTAATAAAAATAGAAAATAAAAATAAAAGAAAGATACATTTATAATAATAAACATAAATAACTATTATAACTAAAGAGATTTAACAAACAAAAGAGAAATAAATTTATTTTCATTCATGACAATATTATCTTTATTTTAAGACAATGTCAACCATTATTAATTTTTATTAATATTTTTTTTTCATTTTAATTTGTCATGGCTTTTTTATTCACAACTTATTTGGGTCATCAAACTGTGCCACATCATCTAAAAAATGCTGCTAAGGCTGTTGGACTATTTCAATTTCCTCTAAAACTGAATTCATAACCTTCAACCAGCAAGGTTCAATACAAACTGTCTCAGGTGAATCAATAAAATCTTTCAAATCTTTTAAATATCTAGGAAAATAAAATAAAATTCTACTGAAAAGGAACATTTGCATTGCATAAAGCCTGGGCTGCCTTGAATAAAATGGATGTAATCTGGGAATCTGATCTATCAGACAACCTCAAATGGAGATTCTTTTGAGCCACTGTAGATGTGGTATTAATGCTTGGACAAAACCATAGAGTCTAAGCTTGATGAAACCTACACTCAGATGCTAAGAGTTATACTTAATATCTCTTGAAGACAACATCCAACTAAATCACAGCTCTATCAACACATCCCTGATATTTGTACAATCTTACATGAATGCAAAATACACTTTGCAGGACACTGCTGGCAAGCAAACCGAAAACTTGCAAGTGATCTACTACTCTAGACACCTAGCCATGGAGTAAGATGGGCTGGTTGCCCAGTAACCACTTACATTGACTACCTATGTTAAGAGACAGAATGTCACCCTAATGACCTTCTGATCTTGATGCAGGACTGTGACGGCTGATGTGATAGATTCATGAATGTCTGAGCTAACTTGATGAAATAAAAATAACAATGAACTAATGTCCTTTTTGGTCTCATGGAAACCTGGTTAATACTAACTGTTTTTACAGTCTAAGCTATTTACAGTTGAAAAATTTGTAAAATTTAAAATAAACTGTTTTAATCTAACATTTTATTAAAAAATAAAACTGAAAAATAGGACTTATATAAAAATTTGCTTTAAATTAAACATGTTAAACAGAATCAATTTATTGATTTAAAAAAAATTTGACTAGTAATTTTATTTTGTATTTTTTAATTGCTTTTTATAACAACTTTGTTCAAGCTTTAAGTGTATATATGTAAACAGCATGGAACAGAAATAATAAAGTTCCAGGTAAGATTTGAACTTGTGATCCCTTTGTCTCAAGGAAGCCCGATTATCTTTCTCAGCTCCTGTTACTATCAGAACTACTAAGAAATCAAAGATTAGTAGATGTAATAACATTAGAAACCTAACTCTTTCTAGATTCTTCTCGATGACATATTTATGATTGTTTTAAACTAAAAAAAAATAATAACCATTTCAGTAAGAAATGAAAAATTAAACAATAATATTTTGGCAAGTTCAATGCCTACAGGGATAGACAGCAGAGTACAAGGTCAGACAAAAAGTATTGAGAAATGTTGCTATGGTAATGGAGCTAAAGAAAGCAGAGTGAAGTCACTTGGCACTGATAGACCTTGGAGACTGTCATGCATGCACCTAAATCATTACATTCTAGCTCACTGTCATTGTTTATATCGGTGGTTGGAAGGCAAGTATGTAGAGTTTTTTTTCTGTGGGTTGCCCAGATCAGTATGTACCTGAGGAGGACTGGAGGGCACAGCAGTGAAAATGTTGTGATAGCAACAACAACGATGAGGACAGTGGTATAAATATGTATAGAGCAAATAATGATAACTCCTCATCCCAGAAATTGAGACAAAAATATTCTTCCAGTAATTAAGTTGAAATAATAGAAAGAATGAAATGGGCAATTACAGCTCTCCACAACTTCCTATCCTTAGTAACATTTATCATTTTACTATCCCTCCCATTCCCTGTTCTGCTATCCATTTACACAAACTCATTCATAAATTGCTTGCTGTTTCTCCTGTCCCTCTTGCTTTCAATATGTTTTGTTAGTGTCTAATTCTCCAAGCCTTCTTTTCTCATTATGTGTCCTAGAAATTTAAACTGTCTCTTTCTGATGCCAAGTATACTGACTACATGAATTTAAGCATGCTACTTGACTGACATCTAAATCCCACCCTTTACTGTTGAAATAGTTAAATATAATTGCCATTTCTACTCTAACAGTTTCTTTTCTTGCACTTCCCACCTGTGGAACTCCCTTCCATTTACTTGCTTCCCTGACAACTACAAACTCCAAAAATTTAAATGCAATATCAATCGCTATGTTCTATCTTCTTTAATCCCATTCATCTTTTATCCTTTTTTCAATCCCCTCTACATCCAGTCTTTTCTCTTACTTTCACTCTCTGTAACCTCCTGTGTACTAGTGACTAGTGGCATTCCCCCCTTGCTTAGAGTGAAATGATTAAACAAAAAAAAACTGTGTGGCAGTCTCACCACACCAAACCACAGAGGTTTCATCAGTGACCATCAGCAGTTTTGGGCCAAGGACAACATTCCCCAGATCTTACCCCTTGCGACTTTTCTTCTTTCCAAAAATTAAATTCCACTTGAAAGAAACAATATTTCAAGACATCGAGGAAATCCAAGAGAATGTGATGGTTCAGCTGTTCACTATCCCAAAAAAAGAGTTCCAGAAATGCTTCCATCAATGAAAACAATGCTGGATAAAGTGTGTGGCTTCAGAAGTGGACTACTTTGAAGGAGATTAAATGCCGAACTGATATGGGCTGTAGTTTTCTTTTTATAGCACCAGTCCTGATATTGACTAGGAACAAGAAAGCCAAAAGAGAGTTCTATAATCATGATGTGTAGAAGAAGAAACTATTAGCATAAAGCTTATGGTTACATCTAGCCTATATATTAAGTATTTATTTATTAAGTATAAATTTATTAAGTATTTATTTATTAAGTATAAATTTATTAAGTATTTATTTATTAAGTATAAATTTATTAAGTATTTATTTATTAAGTATAAATATTATAATATCCATAGCTGTATCTCAATATCATTTTAAATAAATATAATTATTTATAAATATCTATAAACATGAGTATGTGCTGAATATTTCTTGACCCAACCAAGTATAGATTTTTAAAAAACTCTCATAAAAATATGTATATTTTGTATAGATATCTACAATTTTGTGTAAATACTATACATGACTATCAGAATATATACTGTATACAATCTTGCATATTAGGTAACCCTCAAACTTTCACTTATAAAAAATGATTTTATCATGTATCTTGTGTATCATATGAGTTCCTTTTTATGAAAGAACAAATTACAATAGACTAACCTCTTTCCCTCTATCTCTTCATCCCATCTTCTAGGTAAATAAGTTAAAAAGTAAAGAATGATAAAAATATCATTAGTAACACTATACTAATTGTGTACAGCCATAAGTAATTGAACAGAAAACAGCTAAATATCTTATAAACATAAACAATGGAAAAAATGCATATTTGCTGTCTGTATTTTATAATATGATACTAATATCTGAATATTACATGCATTAATATTGGATAGAGTTAAGTAAAACATCACTTTTATCAAAATCATGTTTATTTTAAATACAGCTGTACTTTTGACTATATTAAATGGATATGTAGTTTAGTCACAGGTGTAGTCAAGGTCAGCAGTACATATGACAATTTTATATTTCATGTATGATGTAACCCCCTTAAAATTAGCTTCAAATGTCACATGATATTCAGGTATATATGGTATATAAAACAAAAAATTAAAAAATCATTATATTAAGTATAAAATAGAATAAGATTTTGGGACATTTTACCTCCACAGGATCTTAATAATTCTATTCTGGCTTCAGCTTTCATTTTGCCAGTCTGTAAAAAGAAAAGAAAGAATTTTCAACTTTGAAAATATTTAGTCTAGAATTTGAATTAAAGTTACATATTTTTTATTTTTTTATCATTTCATCCCAAGCAAAGTAATAAAGTTATTAAAATGCAAAATGTTACTGAGTGTGAATGAATATGAGAACAAAAAACATTATTATTAAAGGGAGAGAACAATAAAGAACAGGAATTAAGAAGGCCGAAGAAAATGATTGACATTGCATTTAAATTTTTGAAAATCAAAGTTGACTGGGAAGCTAGAAACTAGAAGAGAGTTACACAGGGGAGAAGTGTGATAGAAGTAACTATTAGCATAACATAATTAGCGTAACTATTATTACAGCTATATCTAGCAATTTCAACTGTTAAAGTATGAGACCTGGTTGGCAATCTAGTTCTAAATTCAAATCCTAAAGTCAACATATCAAATAAGAAAGTTTATCAGAACAATTATCATGGAAATATTTATAGAAAATACACAGAAATGCTATGTTATAGTGGTGAAAAAGTTTCTACTTTCTTTATTGATAACATTAAACTTATTTGCATAAAATTTAATATTTAAGTAAAGGAGAAATACAACAATAGATCAATAATCTGATATAGTTATTAACTGAATGGTGATTTGAAATTTTCAGTAATAATTATATATAATGTTCAACCTATGTGATTAGTATTCACCACTAACTAAATTAAGGAAGGGGATTATATTAGAAAATACATTTTTGCTGTGTACAAATAAATGCTGTTTTCATCATTATGTCATATACTTATTTACTTACATACATATTTTGTCTGATAGAGAACCAGTCAAATTATGTTTGGTATAAAATATATACTTACTTTTGGTATAAAATATATACTTACTTCTGCTCGTCTAATATTTTGTTTTAATTCTTCAATTTGAGATTCAGGATCTTGACCAGTACTATCACTTTTATCTGTACTTGTTCCACCTCCCTGAAGTGTAAGAGAAAAAATTTGTCTGTAAAATTTAGTTTCAAATTTTGTTTTTTGAGTATATTATAATATTAATAGTATAGGATACATAAAAAGATACATAAAAAGAAAAGAAATATTTATATATGATTCAGCACTTCTACCTAGCATAAAAGAATTTATGCACTATACAGGATCAGAGTATACTCTGATCCTGTATAGAGTGCACAGATACTCTGATCCTGTATAGAGTGCACAGATACTCTGATCCTGTATAGAGTGCACAGATACTCTGATCCTGTATAGAGTGCACAGATACTCTGATCCTGTATAGAGTGCACTTGTTTTAATAGCCGCTGTTTTTTAGGGCTGATTTATATGTTATATATATATATAATAGTGGTCAATATATATATATATATATATATATATATATATATATATATAATATTAATATGGTCAATATATATAAATTCACAAGTGGATAGAATCCAGGTAGGTGTGTGTGTCTGTGTGAGTGTGTATATGGCATTATATATATATATATATATATATATAAAACCTTACATTAATGCTGAAAATCTGACTTGCAGTTGCAAAAAAATTGCAAGTCACTGACACATCTACACAAAAATAATACCCTGTCTGGTGGCAAAAGCTGCTGTTAGCACCAGGGGTGGCAGTACTGCCTTAGCTACTAAAACTGTGTTACCTCCCTTGGTTGGTGGCTGATGAAGACAGTGTATTGCACATGCTTTCACACATTGTATATAGTATATAATTAACAACATTAAAACAAATGATTTTTGTTACAATATAAATAAGAGATATAAAACTCTTTCTTACCTGATCAGTCTTTGATGCATTTTGATGTAATCGTAAAGCTTTACTTTGTTCTCGTATGATTTTTGTCTCTTTCGATATTCTTGAGGCATATTTTTTGGTTTCTTTTACCAGTTGATGCTCTGCGCCATGTTCTTTACTAAGCTTATTTATCTGCAAAAGGGAAAACATGAATTAAATCACTTCATTCGAGAGCAGAAAGTAGTGAGTATTATTAGATTGTGAGATCATCTAATTTCATGTGATTTTTTTCTTTTTTTTTTCTTCTGATACATTTTTATATATTCAAATAATTTTTATAAGTCCTTAAAGTTATCATTTAGACAAAACAAACATTTATTATACTTTTATTTGAGCTACACTACAGTTAAAATTTTGAAGCCACCTTCAGAATTAGTATAGGATTAACTTGACAGAAGATTGAAACACAAATGATAAAGAGCTCTTGGAGTCATTCAAAAAAGAATGGAATCAATTATGAAATTTATACTTTAAGAAACTTTTGCAATGAATGCCAAGAGTTTGTGCTACAGTAATCAGTGTTAAGGAGGATATTTTGAGGAGAGCAAATTTAGGTAGTGAAATATACTAGATGCGATCTGTTCCAGCTAGACGGTTGAACTGTCTGCCTTCAGGCAGAGAGGAACCCAGACAAGGCTCTGCTGAAGGGCAGAGTCTCGTTCAGGTAGGTAGACTGCCCCTGAACCCATTTATGTGAGTTCAAAAAGGGAATATTTTTGGCCGAGTCTACGAACTTGGAGAACCCCCGTTAAACCCAACCTTATGCCACATGCAACCCTCATGTGGGGGGGGGCTAAATATACTAGCTGGGATCTGTTGAGTATGACTCAGACTTACACGAGAACTACCAACCTTCCAATAGTAGCATTCACTACTGGATTGACTTGCGATGACCTTGTGCATAACTGTTACCTTTATTCGTATTGTACTGATTGTTTACAATAAATCTTTACTTACTTTATTCACCTTGTTTTTCTAATATATATTCCTATTAGCATGGAATATAACATGAATGTTTGGCCTTATATGTGATAATTCATTTCCTCATCAATACATTTAATATTTGATTTATTTTTGTGTCTAATGTTAGTAAGTGGATTAAATCTGAATTCACTGAGGTAGGATGTGGAAGACAAAAGGGAAAGGATTATCCACTTGTTTTTAAAGATTAAGGAATTTAGCATTCAATTTAAAATATCAAATGACAAAGACTTGACTTAGACATGGAAGCCATGTGATTTATGTCTTTATTTTTTTAAAATAAAGATTTTTTTAAATATAAAAATAATTCATAAATTACTCTTCTGTTAATTTTTGGTGCACCTGATTACCTTTTGGGGTGTATTAGTGTACCCAGCAACACCTGTTGAGAAACATTAGTATAGTCTACTTAGTTATTCAGATATTTATATCTCTCATGATAACTGACTCATAGGAAGTAGTATGCCCTCAACTACCCCATGGGTAATAGCCGTAGCTATTTATAGTCTTTGTTACTTCATATGTAAATGAGTCATTTCATCTCCCTGTACTGAAAAGGTTTTATCCCCTTACTTTTCCTGGTATTTCTTCTGGGTGCTCTTGTCTCTTCACTATCTTCCTTCCTCTCCCTAAGATGAAGATCTCAACCTTCTTTTTTCATAGGAATATTCCTTCAACAATTGTTCATTTTCAGAGTCTATATTGTTCTTGATTTCACTATCTAATTTATCTTGCCTTGACACAACACTTACGCCTTCATTACTTACAGCCTTACTAAACATTTCTTCACCATTATTGTGTTGCAGTTTAACTTGGTCTGTATGCACTAATATTCCATTTCCATTTTTTGTATTATCATAATGTTCTGTCCACTTTGCATTATGAATCTTACCTCTTGTAAATTAGATTCATTATTCTTTTTATACCATAGTTCTTCATTGGTAGCATAGGACATGGTCAATAGGGCTCTAATTTTACTACCCATAAGGATGGACAGACTTTTCAATCTTCCAGCATGTGGTATTGTCCTATAACATAGCAACAATCTAGGAAGAAATGTTTCTATCTTTTCTTTCCATTGTATACATATTTTCAATCCATTTTTTATGGTTTGCACCATCCCTTCTGCTAATCCATTTGAATATGGATGGTACAGAGGAGTTTTATATGATTTGCTTCCAATTTTATTCAACCATTGGCATAATTTCTCATCACAGAATTCTGGGGCATTGTCAGATACTAGTGTTTTCAGAATTCCATTTCTTGAAAATATGATCCATAACACTTGTTTCATGATTGAACTTCTTTTGTTAGGGACCTGTATTACTTCTGACCTGCCTGAATATGAATCTATCAGTATGAGTAATAATCCCACTCCATTAACATGGGCATAATCCATGTGTACTCTGTTCCAAGTTTGGGACTCTTTAGGCCATGTTTGTGTTTCTGTCTTTCTAAATTTTCTTCTGATATTGCACATTTTGCACCTTTTATGTATTCTTCTACAACTGTAGAACATCCTGGCTACCATGCCTCGTGACTTAATCTCCTTTGCATAGATGTTATTCCTCAATGAACATTGTCACGTACACTTTTTATATAATTTTGCACCTTTGCATTTCTGGCAGAACCACTACATCTACATTACAAATTACACCCTTTTCTACAGTTAGCAATTATTCCACTTATTTTTTATCTTGAACAATATACTGTTCAATATGAGATCTTGCTTCATATCTTCAGCTAATTTGTCTATCAACAAAATATCAGTTTCAAGCCAGTGCAAAAAAGTATCTTCAAATTTCTCCTCCTCTTTCTCATTTTCAAAAGTAATAAACCTCAATCTTGACAAAGTGTTTGCATGCAGAATGGTATTACATTTCAAATATTCAATATCAAAGTCAAACACCATTAACATTAAGGCTCATCTTAGAATTCTAGAAGATACTACCTTAGGAAGATCCTTCCTAGGATTAAATATGAATTCTAAATGTCTATGGTTGGTCAGACCTTAGTAGGAATTTCTTCCCAATAAGCAACTGATGAGCTCTATTTGTCATTCATATTATGGCCAATGCTTATTTCTCAATATTTGAATAGTGTTCTTTATATATGAAAATTATAGCATACTATAAAATTATATTAAATATGTAAAATAAACAAATTTGAATAAATATATTGCCTACTAAATTACAACATTAAAAGTAAGTTAATTCAAGCTGGTTATCTAAAATGCTTTGCTTAAGAAAAATGAATGTCAAAGCTGCAAAAGAGGCATCTTTCTACTTTCAACACTTTTCTTTCAAGAATTCTACCCACCATCTCCTCATAAACTTTTTCACCTACAGCTGTTTATAATATTGGATTCCATTTGTGTATTAATGTTAAATGGTGCTGTTCTTTGCTAGTTTACATAGATAAGTACTACAGAATAGTGTCATAAGCTTTGACATTTATACCAATTAATAAATTACCATCTGTCTATATTTCTGAGATAAGGTATTGTAACTATTTACATCATTTGGACTCTTGTCCTCATCTTCATTGTCATATTCATAACATTTTGATTATTGTATGCTCTGGCCTTCTTCAGGTGATATATACTGGAACTTAGAAGTGAACCCATTATTTAGTCTACAGACACATAACCAAGTGGATAAAAACATTGGTTGAGTGATTCAAAAAGCAACTTGACCCAAAGAGTTATGAGTTCAATACCTGGCAACAACAGAGGAAACAAAAACAAGAGAGTTATTAAAGGGAATTAACTGAAACTGAGATATCCATAAAAAGGCATGGCTTGTGGAATTAGAACAATCTACTCCTGTGGACTAAATAAAGGGTTCAGTTCAAAATTCAAACATGCATCATTGAAGAAGGTTAGAGTGTACAATGTTCGCAATGTTGTGAATATGGCAATAAAGATGAGGACAATAGCCCGAATGATGTAAATAGTGTAAATAATAAATCACCATCATCAGTATCATGACAGGCAGCTGAGCACCTGACCAACTCCCTCTACATGTCTCAGTAGGTATTCATTCATGTGTAACATCTTGTGCAAAGAAGGCCTGGTGGTGCCTATCCATCTCCAGGTCAGACCACATCTTATGTCCTGACTTGAAGACTCACACTGGTCATGTACATGAGATCATTGATTCTATTTAAAGAACTCTCTATTTCTATTTAAAAAAACTCACAGATACCAAGTCTTCACTTCACTGTACTAAATGAATAATTTAACTTTGCCTAACTTGATATAAATGTAGAGTTTCTTTAGTTATCAAATAAGAAGTTATCTATTAATAAACTTACCTGGTCATTGCAGCAAGGCTCAAACTGATATTGCAGAAGGTCTGTAAACACGTTACTTTCATGGAGAAAGCACTGCAAGTTGTAATTACGACTAATCTGAAAACAACAATTTTAAAATTGGTATCAAATTTTGAAAATTTTCAGAAAATTAATTTGAAATTTTCAACAATTTTTCAAAAATTAATTTAAGTCTTAGTAATTTTCATAAAATTAAAATATCTTCCTTTAATATAACTTAAGAAAATATAATTATAAATTTATGTAAATTTTTTTTTCAAAAAATAATATGAGGGCAATTGTTATGATCTAAAATATATTTAAAAAATGGAACATGGTGAGAGAAAAGATTAACATTTTCAGAGGAGACCTTCAATCATAGAAGGCAACTAAACTTAAATTTTAATGTAACTTTGGGGAAATTATTATTAGCTATATTTAAAAATATCATTTTCAGATAACATCAGTTCTAGGATAATAAAAACAAGTTTTTATATAACATTTGAAATTTCAAGTAGGGTGTATTAAAGAAATAATTTCATTCATGTTAATGAGTATAATGATTATAAATATGGTGGTAAAGCAAATACTAAAATAAAAATACTAAAATAAATAGAAATTTATAATAGAAATGTACTAAAAATTATAGAATTATACTAAAAATTATATATATTTAGTTGGATTGATGTGAGTTTGTGGCCCTGGGTTTCACACTATTTGCAATTGTCAGACAAACTGATTAATTTTTAAATTTTGTATATATATATATATATATATATATATATATATATATATATATATATACTAAAAAGAAGAGGGAAACTGCAAAAATTTTGGTTTATAATGTGGATTTTTTTATACATATATATTATATGTTGTTTTCCATATTTTTGCTACGTGTTTCCAGTCTTGTGACCTTCTTCAGGCAAAGAGTGGATATTTCTACATATTATTAAAAGGAATTCATTTTTCTTATGTTTTTCAATGTCTAACCATTGTCTTTTTTGCATGTTGGTAGTTTTTTTCTACTTAAGGAGTAAAAAAGCAATTAGGATTGGTCCAAGAAAGGGCAAGGAAGGATGTCTTCATTCTTATCTTTTTATGAACCTTGTATGTTCTTAGATCTATTTCCATTTTAGTATATTGTGTGTGTGTGTGTGTGTGTGATTTTGCTAGTATGTATATGTATATTCTTTCTCCATACATACATACTATCTTATACATCCACACTTTGACTAAAGAAGGTCATGAGACTGGAAAAATGTGTAGTAAAAATATGGAAAATAAAATTTAATATGTGTATATATATATACATAATAATCCACATTATAGCCAAAAATGTTTGCAGTTTTTCTCTTCTTTTTAAAATATACACTTTTCTCTTGTTGGAACAACTATAACCTCTATATATAGCCTCTATATATATTCCTTACTGGTTGCATGACTTGGAGTTTCATGCACAATGCAATGTTCAGGTGCTGAGTAGAGATTGACCATTACATAATTTAAATTTTAATAAAAATATCTGGTTAATGCAGTCCATATATTATAAAGGGATTATGTTTTTTTATTTAAATAATATATATATATATATATATATATATATATATATATATATATACTGTATTCAAAATATATGTGATTTATATTTTATATTTAAAATAAATGCAAGTTAATGGTATTTTAAAAAAATATGTATTAAAATAGATGGATCAAAACTATAAAAAAAAATAATTAAAACTAAAATCAAAAAAAAATTATTATTTAAAATAGTTGGGATTAATATTTTATATTAAACATAAATGGGGATTAATGAGTTTTTCTTTAAATTTTGTATAAAATAATAAGACCTATATATATATATATATATATATATATATATATATATATATATATATATATATATATATATATATAAAAAGTGAACATTGAAGTCAGTACTTAGAGGCAACATGGCCTGACGATTGTGGCTAGCATGAAACAGATTATCACCTCTAAGTATTGGCTTCAATGTTCACTTTTATATTTACACACACTATGTCTGATACTGAGCACTTTATCCCATAAATATAGCAAATTTGTATTTAAAATCAATTTTAAATACAAAAAATATTTAGCCTTTAAGACAGAAGGGATTTATGTTTGATATTTAAAATAAATGGGAATTAAAGGTTTTATTTTATATTTAAAATAAACCAGGATGAATTGTAAATTTCAAAAAAGGTGAGAAATAATATGTATATTTATTAGTATATACTTAATAGCTCTGTTATATTACATCAAATACTATTTTATTAACATTATCACTCAACAGAGGATGACAGATGGAAGTACAGTCTATTAAATGTGATATTTCAACATGTTTTTTGATGACAGAATGTAATATTTCAACATATGAAAATTCAATGAAAATTCAGTGATGGAATGTGATATTTCAACATGTGAAAATTCAATGAAAATTCAATGACAGAATGTGATATTTCAACATGATTTTCTGTAGAATTTATGTGTGGCTTGTGAAATTTAAATAAATTTGTTAAAAATGAAAATGGAAGAAAAGGAAATGCATTTCTGTCATTTGATATGCTTATTTTTGGAACAGAAATAAGCACTATAGAAACAACAAAAAAGATATGTGCCATTTATAGAGATAGTGTCATAACTGACTGAGAGTATTGTCTGTAAATTGTTTGCTATGTTCAGGAGTGGAAATTCCAATCTGGATGATCAAGAACATTGTACTAAAATAATACAATACTGTATTCATTGATGAAGATCTAATTTAGATGCTGATTAAAAATGATACAGGTCACACAACATGGACATATCTCATGAGTACTACAAGCACTTGCATACACTAATTGTTACTATATTTAAATACTTCACTATTTAATGAACAAACATTATGGACCACATTCCCATTTGTGATATCTACTCTAACACAACAAAATTTATGTATTCTTGAAAAGAACAATCATAGGCAATAAAAATAGATTGTTTACAATAATGTGCAGTGAAAAAGTTCCTGGGCCACTGTTAACCATTCCAAAAACCAGCCTGTATCTGGAGGAGTTGATACTGTGTCTGGTCGGATTGTTAGGGTACTGAATATTAAGAGTTCTATCTGTAAAATCAGATGTTGAAGTCAAATAAGTAGTGTTCCCAACTGGAATGATTAAAGGCAGTAATCCATAAAAAAACATCCAGAATTGACCAATGACAAGGATGTCATCTTCCATCAGGACAATGCCAGTTTTCACATTCCTTTACTGACCTAGCAGAAATTGATACATCTTGGCTGGCATGTACTACTACACCCAAGCTACTCACCTTTGAATTACCACGTATTTTGATTACTACAAAATTCTCTTAAATAGAAGAACTTTATTTAACTCTCTGGAAGCCTGTAGAAAACACTTAGACCAGATCACCACCCAGAAAGATGCTAATTTCTGGGAGGATGGAATCATGAAGCTGCCTCAAAGATGGTAAAGGGTAATGGAGCAAAATGATACATGTGGTTGAATAAATCTATGTACAAAATTCTCAGTATTGTCTTTGAAATTCACTTAAAAACAAAGAACTTTTGTCCCAACCCAATACAAGAATTACTGATAGAATTACATGTTTAATATAAATGCATTGCAAGGGATTTTACTATAAAAATAAATTGAAAATCAAGAAGGAATTGTCAGTGGCCAGGAATTAAGGCATTACTGATAAAATAAGGTTAATATATGTACAATGTAAGTGATTGATTATAATTTTGTTAGAAAAATGCACTAAAAATTGATAATAAATGAACTGTTAGTGAACAAGGCATGCATTATTGATAAAATGTGTCTTTTTATATATATATATATATATATATATATAAGGTGAAACCTAGGTAGGTTGTTCTTGGCTCTAGGATTTATTTTTTATATATATATATATATATATATATATGAAGAATTATAGTCTTAAGATATGCTATATTTATGGGATAAAGTGCTCAATATCAGAGATAGAGCGTGTGTAAATGTAAAAGTGAACATAGATGTCAACACTTAGAGGCGACAGTCTGTTTCATGCTAGATGCAATCGTCAGGCCACGAGTTTGTTTCATGCTAGATTGCATCTATGTGTTGACTTCTATGTTCACTTTTACATTTTATATATATATATATATATATATATATATATATATATATATATATATATATATATATATATATATATATATATATATATATATATATACACATACTATATATACACATATGTATATATATGAAGAAATATAGTTTTAAGGTATGCTTTATTTATGGGATAAATTGTTCAATATCAGAGATAGAGCCTATGTAAATATAAAAAGTGAACATTGAAGTCAACACTCAGAGGTAACAGAATGTTTCATGCTAAATGCAATTGTCAGGCCACAACGATTACATTTAGTATGAAACAATCTGTAACTTCTGAGTGTTGACTTCAATGTTTGCTTATATATATATATATATATATATATATATATATATATATATAAAATTACAGAAATGTCTCAAGTTTATCCTCATTCATTACATGAATCTGTAAATATCTATAATTGTTTTTTTATAAAAAAAATAAAAGATCTTGCTTCTTACCTTTTCAGCTTCAAGAGATAATTTCTGAAAGCAGTTGGTTTCAATGGCACTAACTTCTGCACTGGTTGCAGTGTGTATTGTAAAATATTCTTGGATTTTTTCATAAACTTCTCCATCCAATGCCTGGAAAATTGAACAGCAAATTCAATTTCAACTTATGTGTCAGAGTTGAAGTCAAAGTAAACACCTGTAACACACTCTGGGTCAATAAATTCTTCACTATTACTATCATTTTCTTATTAGTTTTAATACATGTTTTTATGCAAACACTCTGGTCCAATCCACTGTACATTATTACTATTATCTTATTGCTAGTTTTAGTCCCTCTTCTAATTATTGATTTTTATCACAACACTCTGATTCATTAAACTCTTCATTATTATTATTCTTTATGTGCAGTGTCCAATGCAAGGTGTGGGTGATCATGGCTCTCCACAACTTCCTATACCTTGTAGCTCTTAGTAATATTTGTTTTTTATTATATTTGCAGTATGATAAACTGAGATTAGTAAATATCAATAAGGGCACCTCACCATAGAGCAATGGTTAGCAATCTAGTCTCACAGATCATTACTACTGTAGTGAGTTCGATCCTCACTGGATGCCCTATTACTCTGGCCTTGTGCCATAATAAACTGAGCTTATTAAGTATCAATAAGGGCACCTCACCATAGAGCAATGGTTAGTAATCTAGTCTTACAGACCATTACTACTGTAGTGAGTTTGATCCTCACTGGATGCCCTATTATTCTGGCCTTGTGCCATAATAAACTGAGCTTAGTAAATATCAATAAGGGCATCTCACCATAGAGCAATGGTTAGGAATCTAGTCTCACAGACCATTACTACTGTAGTGAGTTTGATCTGAACTGGATGCCCTATTACTCTGTCTGTGATTTAATCTCTTTTTAGGGAGCAATGACGTCAGGAGTTCTAGACTCCTGGAGAGCAACCCCTGGCAGCAAGGTTGAAGACATGAACCCAAACTGAGCATGACCAAACCCAAAGACCCCAACAGTTGAACAAGTGGATGATGATTACAACAGATCTCAACAGTTGAATCAGCAGATCGAGAGAGCTCTGTATGACGGACACTACAGAAGTCACCATTTAAAATTATCACAGAGTCAACTGCAGCACATTGCTGTTTCATAACTTGATTCTGCATGTGCCACAAAAGGTGGTCATGAAATCAAATATGTGGGTTACTTCTTGGCAAGTTGAGGTCTACCTGAAACAAATTCCCACCAATTTTCTTTCACCTTCAACCAAGCCTTGCAATGCCAAAAGGCAATAGGAAATGGATGACGGGAGCAACTTTTGGTGAAACTGGAAGATTCTAGTGCTGAACCTGCACATTGTCAGTGAATTTAGTCACCAATGCCATCATCATAAAGGAAGTGATCATCAAAGAAGTATTTAAATTCTTGGATACAAGTTAAATCTGATAAATAATAAGTAACAATCTAGGTTGAAAAACAATATGCTATATTTCTTTTTTTTTACTAAGGGAGAAGAAGATCTTTACTTACCTTCATTAGTTCAGGTAGGTCAACACTATAATATCTTATTTGATGTGCATTGGCAGCTGACTGGGCTAATAAGTAATCATTTCGTGAGGAAGTAGATTTTATTGCACATTGTTCATATCTTGATGATAACTGCAATGAGAAGGAATTGTAATATTAAATAAAAATCAGTAAGTAACAAAGAAAAAACAATAACAATTAGAACAAAACTTCTGGATTTTACAAGTATGATAATAAACTAATTATAAATATTATTATATATTTGGGATTAAATACATACTGTAGCTTTATTATTTACACTATTTAAAAATAGCACAGCCATTCATATCCAAGGAAGCCCACCTACTGGGGCAGCTTCTAGGGTGGTTTAGTTTCAGTTTCTTGGGGAGTGCACATTATAAAGCATGATCAACAGTCTTCATTCTTCAGCCAGAACACTCAAACCCTCAGTCACAATGATTGTGACTTCATGCTAGCACAACCATTGATGGCTCCCAAGGGTTTCATTTAATCATTTTCACTCACAAGGCTTAGGTCAACCATGGTATGGTTTTCAGGCATGTTGGGATCAACTCCAGACAAAGAGCAGCAAGGTCACCTTCCTGACAAATCAACCCTGGTGAGATTTGAACCTAGGTCTCATGGTCAGAAAGCCAATGCTCTAATCACTTGGCCACATATATTCTATTTACATGTGAATTATTGTCCTTATCTTTGATTCTACTGAGCCTCTCACTGCTCTGTCACTACTTCCATGGAAAGTGCTATTTTCCTTGGTTCTGGCAGGTCTAACCTTCATGGCTAGGACCCACCATGTCACATATTGTAGCAAACCACCCACATTCCCTCCATATTCCATGAGTTAGAAGTAAGTCCCAGTAAAACAGAATCTTCCTGTGAACCACTGCTCTGTGGAACCAGCTCCCAAGTTTATAACATGGAAGTTGATAATTTCAGATAAATGATTCTCAACCTGCATAAGTAATAAAAGAGTATGACAAACAAAGTGAAAATTTATGCATTCCTTTCTAGAAACACTAAAGAAAATATTAAATTTTTCATTTTATTAATTCAGTGAGACTTTATGGATTGGTAAAATAATATTCAATTCAGAATGCTAGAAGAAAAAAAGTTAAAGTGTTAAAATTGATTAAAAAATGTAAAATTTTTTTGTACCTTTGCACAGTTGCGTTGCAGGCTTGTCATGCTTTTAAAAAAACCCACAGATTTTCTTTTCAACCTGAAAAAAAATAATAATGCATTTTAAAAACATAAATGATTCTTGTTATAGTGCTGACACAGCTTTTCTCTTCTCCATGACATACCAGTGATGAGACTTTTGTTAAGATGACTAGCAATGAAACAGTGCAGAAATATATATACTTAACACAGGTAGTAAATATATATATTTAGGAATGGTGATAAATATATATACTTAGGACCCGGTGATATATATATATATATATATATATATATATATATATATATATATATATATATATATATATATATATATATATATATATACCTAGGACACATAGATATATATATATATATATATATATATATATATATACTTAGGACTGATGATAAATATATATATGTACTTAGGACAGATGAGAAAGGTAGGTGCATAATAAATGTATACATACTTATACTTATATATATATATAGTGGACAGATGATAAATATATATGCTTATGAAAGTATGTAGTTATGATAGTAGATTGGGGTAATCAGTTGAGTTTCAATCTTGAGTTGAAGCAATCGGATGTCTAGCCACACTGATCAGCTCTGATACAGCGAAACAGACTGTGGATGACTATATATATATATATATATATATATATATATATATATATATATGAGATAACGATATATAAATGTTTTCTATATCAAGAGCAATATTGGGGTAAAAATGTATGACAAAGTGGAAAACAGTTTTAGTCCATTTCATGTACAGAGAGACAGAGTGAGAAATAAAGAGAGAGAGAGAGAGAGAGAAAGAGAGAAGGATAAAAAACAGAGAAACAGAGTGAGAAATAGAGGGAAGAGAGAGAGAGAAAGTGAAAAAAAATATATATTGTCTCTTACTTACTTTTCATCGGCTTCATTTGCTTTTTGCCTTGCTTCAGATGTTTGGGTTTCATCAGTAACATAAATTTTATGGGCCTTGGTCATTTCAAGGACACTTTGGGCAACTTCAGATTGTATAAGACTAAGCTGATTCACCAACTGAAAAGTAAAAGAAACTTACTATAACTTACTATTTCAAATAAAATATAAGCCAAAGAAAAATATTTTCAGAAAGCCTTTAAATTTTTATTTAAAATTAATGAACAATATAAATTATAGAATTATCTCATCTTTTCAAGAATTGTGAATTATTGTCTTTTAAAAGTCTTCATTGTAGTTTTGTATTTATGCCTAGAAATTAATTCAATGTAAATCTTTAGCTAATAAAAGGAATAAAAGTCCTGAAAAATATGCCAACATTCAATAAAAAATATGTTATACAGGTTTTTTTCAGTCTGAATTTCTTGTATAGGGAATTATCATTATTTACACTATTTACATGTGGACCATTGATTTTGTTGTTAAAACATTTCAGTTGTTGTACCTTCCATTGTATATCAATCTGGATAACCTACAAGAATTTCCATACTGAATTCTTTATTTAATCTACAGGGGTAGACTATTATTATTCTACTACCTATGTCTAGGGATATCTCATCTAGTATTTATTTTTAGTACTGCTCATTTATTACTCACCCTGTTTCTACTGAGTACAAGTACACATGGCCCAGTGTTCCAGGGATTAAACTCACATTAATATGTCACCAAATTCACAAATCAACACTTTAATCCATAAACTATTGCCTCATAGGACAATCCTGAACCTTAAACCTAACCACCTTGCTGATAGTGCTGCTGCTTGTTATACTTGACTGCATTGAAGCTTTTCTCTTTTTGATTACAGTTGCTGCTGCTGTTGAAGACTTGCTGTCATTTGTTTTTCTTTATTAGCAGCTCCCATATTTCTATGCTTAGTGAAAGCAAGAAGGGCAGGAAAAAAACAATGCATAACACACTTAGTGAGTTTGAGAAAATGAATGGCAGAACAGGGTTTAGGGAAAATAACAGAAAGACAATATTTATGAAGAGCTACAAAGGACTGGAAATTGTGGAGGGCCATAATCGCCTACATCTTGAGGTGACAGATAAAGAAGTTCATGTGATACAGAAGGTGTAACAGTGTAAAATCGTAAGTTATATTTATCTGGCCTCTCAACTAAGGCATGGTGTAAAACAATTGTTTTAACATTGGGAGCATTATATATATACATATGTATATGGGCCAAGGACAAATTTTTTTTGTCCTGTCTCTGTGACCACTGTCATGCAGGTATTGATATTACACTGATCCTATCTCTCTTTCTGCACTGAGGAAGTTGCTGTTGCAGGGTTGAAATCTTTAGAAATATCCAGTATAATATATCTTGATGTCAACATTACGATAACCAGATATATTTTTTTTAATTTAAATTAGATAATGGCAAATCTATACTCAGTACCTGAAGATTGCATTGTGCATGAAACTTCCAGTTATGCTATTGGTGAGGGATAATATATATATATATATATATATATATAGCAATTTCTAATCCAGCATATTTTTATTACTTTAAATGTTATTTTTAATGGGTACTCATATTTAAGTACATGTTCCATTTATTATTTAAACTATTTTATATTTCAATATTCAGATCAGTAGAAAAAATAAAATACTATTTAGAAAATAAACAGAGTGTCTGTTCAAATATGGATATCCACTAAAAATAAATAAAAATTTATAGTGATAAATATATAAATATTTTTAATCAATTCACCACAAGTAAGAGAAACATGCCACTTAGACAAAAGGAGGTATTTGGAGTGAAAGAAAATGGTAAGATTTTAGATGGAACTGCAAACTTAAACAGGAACAAGGGATAAACCTATACCCCTGTTCAAAAATCTAGGGAGAAGTGTGAACCAGATGATAGATGAACCTATCTATCTATCTATATATATATATATATATATATATATATATATATATATATATATATATATATATATATATTTATGAATAAAATAACAATTGAAAATTTCCGATTGTCATTTTCATTCATAAATATTGTCTTCTCTACTGGTTAAATCTGAGAAAATTTTCATATATATATATATATATATACATACATACATACATACATACATACATACATACATATATATTTCCCCTTACTTTTTTTTTATCAAATGTTATACTCACCTGCTATTAGATCTCTTTCTGATTCACATATGTTGGTCAGATGTGAACATTAGGAAAGCAAAATGTAAAGTAAAAAATAGTTTTTTGTGCAGAGACTCCAAGCATCACATCCAGTCCTCAAAACAAATCCCCACAATAAAATACAATAGCCAATCATTAATATTCGTGCTGGAAAAAAGATGACCCTAGGGATCACCAGATTTACTTAAAAAAAAGCCCCTCCTAATGGCCAACTCAATTGCAGGCTGAAAGGTCACCTGTCAGTATGCAGGATTGCTGTTGCTGTCACTACCATGATCACCTCTCTTGTCACTACTGTTATCTCACCCATGCTTCATTAATCTTCCCAGACTGTTTCTATACAGAATATGGCTGACAGGCCAGCTCCAACCAACACTGCTGGGCTCCAGATGATATCACCATGATTTCTAACACCTCAACATCTTCACTATCCACTTCAGGCATCACTTATTGTCACTACTGTAACCCCATTTCATTGATACAACATTCAACCAGAATCCAACAGAAACATTCCCCTTGACCAACATTTACTATTTACACCTAATCCCATGTCACCACCACCAAAACCTTGGCAACCAATGTGCCTTAGCATGAATCAATCCACCACCATGACCTTGATCAATCAACTCACCATCCCACCTTACCAAGTATTTTGAATTCAACATCTAAGCATCACATGACTGCAAAGCATCAAATACCTTGCAAGTGTTGATTTCAACCATAAAGAAAGACATACTACAAACCCCACCAATGGCTAATCCACTCCAAACCTATCCTCTGACCCCAACTGTGACCATGACCAAGTAACCCAAGAAATTGTTCAACTTCCAGCCTGACACCTAATCACTTTTGCCAAATTTCAAACAACTATATTCCAAATTTTGATGAATACACACTGTTGAAAATTTAATCCTTGTTTGTTCCTTTCCTTTGCAACCAAATGCTCATTATAGTAAGATCATAAGCAACACCAATCCAGTTTACCTCAAAAAACATATAAAATAAATCCTTTTATTTAAGAAACTATTTTAATTAAAATTTATTGGATTCATCATTTTTCTTCTTATAGCAATCAATTAATTTTTGCTGATGGAGCTTTCTTCAAGAGTAAGAAAAGGAAATTAAAAAGCAAATAAATTATCTTTTTTTTAATTCCAAAGCAATCATTGCATTATGAGTAATTTAATGAGTTTTGTCATTCTCAGAATATTATTTTTCTTTAATTAAAATAATATTTATATCTTCTTATAAAAATTAATAAAGTCAGAGATTATCACCAAAATGTTTATTTATATTTATCAATAGTAAAATAAATATAATTCATATGTCATGTTTATTAAATTAACTTTTTTTATTAAGAAACAAATGCTTATAATGAAAATAACACTGAGATCTTATTTTAACAGATATATTTACCAAAATTACAAAAAATATCTTGAAATACTAAAGAGTAAATTTATTCAATAAAATCACCATTGGCTTCAACCATGGTCTCCAAATGGCTTGTGTGGCATGGTGCAGAGTCCTGTTGCCAGACATAGGGTCTTCCATCAGTCACCCTATTGACCTAGCACTTAATTTAGGCCTCCAAGTTGAGGCACTACTATACTATGCAGTTAACAAAATCAAAAACTATCAATGTGCATATGTAAAATTAAAAATATAAAATAGCGACAATTTACCCATCGCACCACATAATAGATCTAAAAATTTAAGAACAATAGTTCTAAATTAGATTTGCTAATCTTGTGTAACAGGGCAGTCATCCTGATTGAGTCATATTAGTGCTTGAAATATTGTTTGGTAACTTGAGTATTGTATTGAGAGACTTAGTAATCTCTTATACAAAGGAGTAGAGATATTAAATGGAGAAAAATATAGGGTTGGAACCTGATGAACAGAGTTTAGTTTAAAAATATTAATTTGAACCTATAAAAGACTTAATAAATAAGTTAAAATACTTAATAAATCTGAACCTATAGCACATTAGTATAAATTATGCATACGTGTTTATCTATGCAGTTACTGCAATATCAAAAAATCAGATTTAGCCAAAAGTCAATAGTTTCTAACTACAGACCTGCAAAAGTGACCATGTGATCAATGAATTGTCTTTTATTCTAGACAGCTCTGTTGCTAAGAAGAAACCTATGTATATTTTCATGCAAAAACTCATTAAAAAATCTTTTTACCAAATGTCTTTGATATATTTCTTTTCATCATCATGAGTAATTTATTTGCATGTAACAAATCCTTTAATAAATTTTTAGATATTTTTTATTTTTCTGCTACTATCCTGTTGAGTGCAAATGGATATGAAGGGGTGCAGAAAAATTTTCAATATGACCAACTTCCAACACCCCACAAAAATTGGAATTTTGGGGTAATGGCTTCTTAGTTGGGCTGAGAACTTTTCATATATATATATATATATATATATATATATATATATATACACAGCATCTACACAAATACCAGTGTCCATATATATATATTTAAAAAATTATATGGATTAAGTTTGACATTTAATATATTTTCTGTTTATATGTTATTTTTTATAGATATAATTTATTTAAGTAAATATTCTGATTTTAATTAAACAAAGTTAATTACATTTTACCAGTATGAATGTTCAAGAAAGTTCCATTTCATAATATATTATCATTGTCTACATAAAGATATCTTTCATATAAACAATAAAGAGAATATATATATATATATATATATATATATATATATATATATATATATATATATATATATATATATATGTACCACAAAAGTATTGGTAAGGCCAACACAGAACCTGCCAGGTGATCAAAGAAAAAAAAAAAGAAATCAATAAAACTATCACAACCAAAAAATGACAGAAGAAAAATGGAAAAGGAACTGTAAACTA